CTTGTCCTGGCGTCGCCTGGCTGCGTGGTCGTGGGGCAAGGTGTGCCGTCCGGCAAATCTTCGGGAGTCACTGGCCAGAGCGGGCAGCCTTGTCACCTCACGCCCCTGCACTCAATCGCACGTTGGTTCAACGGCGAGACAGCTTCCAGAAATTGTTCCCACTTGCTGGGGCCATAAGGATGTCTAGTAACAAGCAGGTATCAGGCTGCACAAATCAAGCCAAGAAGAAAAACGCCTTGAACTTTTGTAGCAACACACTGGCGCCAAAGTATCCCCGTCCTCACTTAACCCCCCAGCCAGATCCAAACCCTGAGTGTCGCCATGCCAAAGGCTCCCTACACCCTCATACCAAGAGGTAGAACAATTGTGACGCTGAAAGGGGAAACCCAATATTACCAATATTCAAACTAAACGATTCGCCGTCCCCCCTCATCGCCGACTCTTGTTCTTCGTCTTGTCACTCGCTAGTTCTGTTTTGGAGTAGACACTGTTACCGTCGTTCGCGAAAAGGTCTTGGTCACCTTTGCCGCCCATCTCCATGAACTCACCAGCGCCTCGGTTATGAGCAGGACCGGATTCTTTCGCCGCCGCCTTGGCCTTGTGGGCATTCTTTGCGAAGACCTTGACGTGGTTCGAATGCTTGTTCGCTGGAATCTTGGCCGTGACTTCGACCGAGTTCAGCGAGCTCAGCAGTGTTCGCTCCCGAACAACTCCGCGGCGATGGACCTCCAGGCCTCTGATGCCACCCACCAGGCCATCGGTACTATCGTTGACGGCAGGCGTACCGTGTGTCAGCCAGGGGTGAGACAGGCATTGATCGATGGTGAACCTGCGCTCGACATTGACAACGAGCATCGAGTCAATGAGATCGACTGCGCTGTGAATTAGCCACAAAAGCTTTCCTGCTCAACTGGGATAACTCACGTGCTGGGTCGCCGACAGAGTCCCAGTAAGGCGAGGGATAGTCGAAACGCCCACTCTTGATCTGCTGGGAAAGAGTGTACGGGAACTCCTTGGAGAACAACTCATCTGAGAATGGCGGGAAGCCGCACAGACAAATATACAACACGACGCCAAGCGACCAGATATCGACGGCCTTGGTGTACTTTCGTTGCTTCGAATCGGCAAGAATCTCCGGT